TAAAGCTGATTGTAAAGAGCCTGATTTGGAACGAGGAATAAAAGGGAAAGGATATGAATTATCTGTATCAAAGGTAAAGTTTCTTCATGAACAGGAAAGTGTCTCAGGGATGGGTATTGCAGACAGCACAGGCAACTCCTGCTCTGGATGGCAGAGAGCCTCAGAGATCAGGGCTGGGACTAACTTTTTACTAACTAGACAATTTGCAGGGTGGAAAAATTCAAGGATGCAGATAAGGTTTCTTCTTGGAAATGCAAGTCATAAGAATAGTCCCGGCCGGCGCCATGGCTCAATAGGCTAATCCTCTGCCTGCAGCACCAGCACACCAGGTTCTAGTCCTGGTCAGGGCACTGGATTCTGTCCTGGTTGCTCCTCTTCCAGTCCAGCTCTCTGCTGTGGCCCAGGAGTGCAGTGGAGGATGGCCCACATGCATGCTGAAGAACCTTTAGAGGAGTACCACTAAAACCAAAGAGCTGCAGAGGGCACCTTTTAAAGATAAAGCGGGAATGGGTGTTGGGCCTGACAGTAAGACGCTACTGTTGGAGATGTCCTTGTCCTACACTGGAGCACCTGGGTCTGATGCCCATCTCCAGCTCCGGATTCCAACTTCCTGCCAATGTAGACCTGGGAGACAGCAGTGATGGCCTGAGAAGTCAGTCCCTGCCACTAACATGGGAGATGTAGATTGAGTTCCCACTTCCTGGCTTCAGCGTGGCCCATCCCTGGCCACCCCAGGCATCTGGGGAGTGAACCAGTGGTTAGAAACTCCTTGTCTCACTCTCTCAAGAAAAAAAAATAAAGTAAATGTATTAGTTACTGTTTTTTTGTCTTTCCGCTCCAAATTCAGCCTTTATTCCTGTTCTGTGAAACCGGATCTGTGCCCTTTAAGAGCTTCCTCTGCCAGCTAACAGAATCCAAGTTTGTAAGCACAGGTGCTTGAGAGACACTGCAGGAGGACTGGTCTGTGTCCCAGTCTGTGTGTGCCAGCTTGGAAGACACCTGCAGGGTGCACACTTGCTGGCAGCTTCCCCCAGCATCCCTTGGGGGCAGATTTGGGGTAGAGAGCCTCTGGTGAGACCCTTCCCAGTGCACAGTTTTCCTAACGACTTTAAAGGGTGGATTTCTGGCAAATTCTGCAGGAAAGACAACTTAGTAATTACACTGGCATCCAGTGAGTCGTGGCTAAACCCACCTGGGATCACAGGCCTGAAGAGCAGGGGCCGTTCCTGAGGCACAGCCAAGGGGTTGTGACTGCTTCTCCTACCTGCTCTTCCTATATTCTCTAGCGCTCTCTTTACTTCTTATGAGTGCATCCCGTTACCCCAACCCTAGGTCATAGCTATTAAAGCTTTCTCTGGGCAAATCTATAGTTTCTCTTTCCTGAGTGGACCTTCTCTGATAGAGTAAACTTAAGAGGAATATTCCATCTGTAAGGTGAAAGCAGACAGGGAATAGGAACAAGACCCATGCAATTATGAGAGGTATGGAAAACGTGGAAAAGGACTTATTCCCCGAACTCAGTTTATGACAACGATGGGTCCTAACTTTGTAAGGTGAGCTGTAGAAGAAATCTAAGTACTTCTTTGTGCACTTCCTTTGTTGTACTTGGTGCTGTAAGAGGCAATGGAAAGTGCAGAGAGGGGCTGGTGCCGTGGGGTAGAAGGTTAAGCTTCTGTCTGTGGTGCCAGCATCCCATATGGGTGCTGGTTTGGGTCTCAGCTGCTTCTCTTCCCATCCAGCTCCCTGCTAGGACCTGGGAAAGCAGTAGAAGATGGCCCATGTCCTTGGGCCCCTGCACCCGTGTGGGAGACCAGGAAGAAGCTCCTGGCTCCTGGCTTTGGATCAGTGCAGCTCTGGCTGTTGTGGCCATTTGTGGAGTGAACCAGTGATGCAAGACCTTTCTCTCTGCCTTTCCTTCTCACTGTCTGTAACTCTACCCCTCAAATGAATTAAAATCTTAAAAAAAAAAAAAAAAAAAGTGAAGAGAGATTGTCTTAAGGTTGATCTGGATAATTTCAAGGAAGATAAATTTAAAAATAATTAAGGGAAACAGAGTTTCTTTGGAAAATTGTATGTAATGCAATAGGAAAACAAACAGCAGTAACTTTAGGCCAGTGTTATTCATCTACATCAATTTTTAAATTTTTAAAGATTTATTTGAAAAGCAGAGTTATAGTAAGAGAGAAGGAGAGACAGAGAGCTTCCATCTGCTGGTTCGCTTCCCAAATGGCTGTGATGGCCGGGGCTGGGCCAGGCTGAAGTCAGGATCCTGAAACTCCATCTGGGTGTCCCACATGGGTGGCAGGGCCCAAGCACTCCCATCTTCCACTGCTTTCCCAGATACATCAGCAGGGAGTTGGATGGGAAGCGGAGCAGCCAGGACTGGCGACCATATGGGATGCTTGTGCTACAGGAGGTGACTTAACTCATTGTGCCACAATGCCAGCCTCTACATGGAATTTTTAAAAAACTTATGGTCTGTCTTACATAAAAATAGTCTGATCAGCTATCAGAAAGCTGAGTTTCACCACACGGTTTCATTGCTTCACATCTGTATGTGAGGGCACATTGGTGTCAGATAGCACCAGCTTATCTGACAAGGCCAATGACAAATGAATGAAGTTGAACCAGCTGAATAAATATTATGCTAGTGCCTTACAGAAGTTAATTGACAACCAGAGCTTGAGGGGTTCCGGCTGTTCTACTTCCTTTCCAGCTTCCTGCTAATGTGTCTGGGCAAGCAGCAGAGGATGGCCCAAGTGCTTGGGCCCTGCACCCATGTGGGAGACCCAGTGGAAGTGCCTGGCTTCAGACCAGTCCAGCTCTAGCTGTTGAGGCCATTTGGGGAGTGAGCCAGCACAAGGAAGATCTCTCTGTAACTCATTCCAATAAATAACATACATCTTTTAAAAAAGAGAGAGAACTGAGATTTTAAAGCAGTTCAAATACAGAAAAGCAGGGAGTAGAATGAAATCATCAGCAACTCATGCAGCATAACCATCCTAAGGTGAAAGGGATCAGTCAGTACCATGTGTATACTGTCCACTTAACTTCAGAAAAATATCATTTTCCACAATAAAGTGAAGATTCTTGACAGTTTTATTTATTTAGAAGCAGACAAAGTTCCCATCCACTGGTTCATTCCCCTAATGCCCCCAAAGTGTAGCCAGGAAGTCAATTCAGCTGTCCCACATGGGTGTCAGGGACCCGTGTACTTGAGTCGACACCTGCTGCTTTCAAGGGGACACATTAGCAAGAAGCTGGAATCACAAACAGAAAGAGGACTCGAACCCAGGTGCTTCTGATATGGGATATGGGTGTCCCAACCAGCATTTTTTTTTAAAGATTTATTTATTTACTTCAAAGAGTTATAGTGAGAGAGGGAGAACCAAGGTGGGGGGGTTAGTGAGAGAAAGAGAGAGAAATCTTTTATCCACTGATTCACTCTCCCAATGGCTGCAAGGGGCAGGGCTGGGCCAGGCCAAAGCCAGGAGCCAGGAACTCAATTCATGTCTCCAATGTGAGTGGCAGGAACCCAGCTGTTTGCGTTATCACTGCTACCTTCCAGGGTGCACAGGAGCAGGAAGCTGGAATTGGTAGTACAGTGAGGACCTAAACCCATGCATCATAACCACTACATCTGCTCCAATTATCTGTATCATTTTACAAAGTAAAATTATGCTTCTTATAGAATGACTAATTACTTGATCTTGCTACTAAAGAGTCAGCTAATGCATAAATTAATTTTATTGGTCAGATGAATTATCAATGGCTTAATAACCTGCAGTATGCACTGCCTATTCCTTATCGTAATAATGGGATTCTTTCCACGGTACTTTTAAATTCCTTTCTCATAATCTCTGGACTTAATGAATTAAATAAAATCCAGAAAAATATCACTTAATGTATCAATTTAAATAATTATGGCAATAATCTAAATTTATTCAAAATAATTGAATATTAAGATCTCTCAGTAAAATTATTCTCTTTGTTTTACACTACACACACACAAACAAAATTCTGTTGTCCCAGAAAGTTATCAACAGTAGGGTGAGTTAGTCTTGATTGCTGCCAATTATGTTACAAAATGTGTCGTACATGTGTTTTTAATTTAAGACAAAATTAATCTGAGGACTTCTAATTCTCTGTTGGTAGCAAACATTCTGGCATCAGAGACTGGATAGCTCATATAATAACAAAGTAGATTCCCGAAACTAAAAAAAAATTCATAGCTAACAATTTTGACCAGTATTAAAAACACTTCCCCAAGTTCTCCATGAGTGGAGTTTTAGGAACAAGCCATGATCACTTTCATTTTTGAAAATGTTCTCATGATGCTGTCACTATAAACTCAAGGGAATAGAAAAGTGATTTTTCTTCTGCTCGTGCTCTTTTCTTAACTATTTTTAGCAACTGTTGTGTGCTTCAATGAGAAGCTCTGTTACTCATAAGATAAGCAATATTACCCTCTACATGACATTTATTATGGAACAGACCCATGACTCACAATAATAATATTATGCAGAGCTAAAATACAATTGTTCCCGTCCAAAATTGTTACAATGCATCAAGGGTATGGATACAGTCCTAATGTGGAGGGCACCAAAAAGTTTGTGGAAAATGTAATGAAAAGATAAGCATATCTGGCTGCAAAAGAGTCATGAAATCCATACAGCTTTTGTCTTACTATGCATTTTTCACAGACTTTTTGAAGTAGCATGTGTATGCAAAAGGAACTAACAAATTACTTCCTGTAATTTTCTTTAACCGTCACAGGAAAACCTCATTATCTTATTTAAAGACTCAAGGAAACAGGCACTTTACCCTTCTCAGAGTACAGAGTTACAAATTTGCCAAAAATTAATGCAGCCAAACAAAAAATACACCTTACTGTTAAAACACTGAAATTCTGTCAGGCCCAGGGAACTCAGGGGCGGGCAGAAACCGCGGTGCTTTGCTCTCACACGTGTTGCTGAAAAAGGCCCCAGTGTCTAACTTACCTATCCATGGTCACTTTCGACTGGTGTGAGGTGACCACAAGCGGGCTGGGCACTGGTGCTCCATTTCCTGGAGAGTTTGTCATGCCTGGAAGTGCAGACACCTCTGGACGCAGCAAAGGAGAGAGAACAAAGAGTTACTGAGATGCTCCTATCTAATCCAACCCAGAAGCCAGGATGCTGGGATTTCCGTTCTGGCTTTCGTACTGGAACTCTCTGTGCCCCCATGTCTTCATGGACACCAGTACCTACCACACAGGCACAAAGTACTTGGAATGGTGCCCAACACATTGTAAGGGCTGAAATAAGTGCTGTTATTAGTTTTGCTCATACTAACTTGACTACACTTGCTGGTTCACTCCCCACTTGCCCACAACTGCTAGTATTGGGCCAGGCTGAAGCTGGGAGGAACCCAATTTGGGTCTCCCCCACGGGTGGCAGGGAACCAAGTCCTCGGGCCATCACCTGCTGCCTCCCAGGGTTAGCAGGAAGCTGGGATTGGGAGCACAGTCAGGAATCAAACCTAAGTGTGCTGATCTGGGATGTGGGAGACCCACGCAACATCTTAAAGACTGTGCCAAATGCCCTCTGCTCAAACAAAAGTTATGTGAGTGTTGATAAGAAGAGGCATGACAGTGGACAAGTTTTCCGCTTCCTTCTTGCCTTTGTTCACTCTCAAATTCAGGTACAAAAAATACAGAAAGAATCGATAAGAGAATAGCAGGAGGGGGAAAGAGGACATCGAGAATGAGGAGCATCAGCCCGTCAATCCTGATTACAACCTTAACTAATCATTCTGATGACTTACAGCCTTTATCTATTACAACGCTCCGGGAGAGCACATGCTCAAAATGCCCTCAGCGCGGGACCCCAATTGCTGCCTGCGGTGCTGGACTCCATTTGGGCACTGGTTCAAGTCCAGGCTGCTCCATTTCTGGTCCAGTTCCCTGCTAATGGGCCTAGGAAAGGCAGTGGAAGATGGCCCAAGAGCTCGAGCCCCTGCACCTGAGTGGAAAACCCAAGGAAGCTCCTGGCTTCGGTTCGGCGCAGCTCTGGCCACTGCAGCCATTTGGGGAGCGAACCAGTGGATGGGAGAACTCTCTCTCTCACTGCCTCTCTCTCTGCTTCTCTATAACTCTGCCTTTCAAATAAACAAATGAATCTTTAAAAAAAAAAAAAAAAGCAAAAGGGTTAATGTGCAACCACTAGGACTATGTTCCAAACACACAAAACTAAGGTATCTTTAAAGAGCACAAAAAACTCACTATAAAGGAACCATGACATCTAAGAAGCAGAGCAGCTTCTACTGAAACAAAACCAAATCCCCCAATCCCACGATACTTTAGATGTGAGCAGCCTTAGAGGTTACAGGGACCGTTCTTTCACAAACATCATTTGATTTGATCTTTAATCCAGCCCTGAGAGGTACTTAGGGCCTTTTTTTTTTTTTTTTTTTGACAGGCAGAGAGTTAGATAGTGAGAGAGAGACAGAGACAGAGAGAAAGGTCTTCCTTCCATTGGCTCACCCCCCGAGTGGCCGCTACGGCTGGCATGCTGCGCCAATCCAAAGCCAGGAGCCAGATGCTTCTCCTGGTCTCCCATGTGGGTGCAGGGTCCAAGCCCTTGGGCCATCCTCCACTGCACTCCCTGGCCACAGCAGAGAGCTGGACTGGAAGAGGAGCAACCAGGACAAAATCTGGCACCCCAACTGGGACTAGAACCCGGTGTGCCGGCGCCGCAGGGGAAGGATTAGCCTATTAAGCCATGGTGCCAGCCTAGGCCTTTGTTTTTAAACAGAAAAAAATTAGGTGCCTCTGGTCCCTTCTTTTTGTATTGATATTGCAGGTGATGAGAGGGGAAGAGTGAATAATGAGCCATCTCCAGATCACCTATATGTGCAGTCACGAAGCCACTGTGGCATTGTGGGAGAACTGGGAACTGGTGGCCTGGGCTGCAGCTATCTAGGCCAGGGCTGTAACTTGCCTCGAGCGCCCCCTGGGGGCAGACACTGTGCCTGCCTTGCTCATTCTGAATTCCAACACCTATCACAGGGCCTGGCACCGGAAGGGCTCTGGGACCTCCCAAAGCTGCAACAGTGCAATGTATGAAAGATACCTCGACACGCAAGGGGCATTTACTCCCTGTTAACTGCATTTGATTACTAAAAGTAAGGTTAATTTTCTTTTTTGACAGGCAGAGTGGACAGTGAGACAGAGACACAGAGAGAAAGGTCTTCCTTTGACGCTGGTTCACCCTCCAGTGGCCCGTGGCCAGCGCGCTGTGGCCGGCGCACCACGCTGATCCGAAGCCAGGAGCCAGGTGCTTCTCCTGGTCTCCCATGGGGTGCAGGGCACAAGCACTTGGGCCATCCTCCACTGCACTCCCGGGCCACAGCAGAGAGCTGGCCTGGAAGAGGGGCAACCGGGACAGAATCTGGTGCCCCAACTGGGACTAGAACCCGGTGTGCCAGCACCGCAGGCGGAGGATTAGCCTATTGAGCCGTGGTGCCAGCCAGGTTAATTTCATATTTGTTTAAACCATATTTGGCTTAAAATCACTGAGAAATCTCTGCCCAAAGCTTATGTAGATAGCATGTAAACATCTAATGAAATCTTAGCATCTCTTTAGTTGCCCCTCTATCCTGAAATCAGATTTAAAAGACTTAACATCAAAACTCTTTACTGAGAAAGAGTATAAGAACAAGGCGTCAATATGTTCAGTCCTTGAGAACGAATATAATAAAAAAATTAATTTTCTTAAGGAAATTATTCTTTGTATGTTTAAATACACGAGGCATACAAATACAGAGGAGCATACATATATGATGGGAGATGAGTTAAGATCTTGGTCAATCCCTTACAGCACAAACAGGTGTGAAAAAACATCTGGCATGACGTGGCAAGCGTTGTGGTGCAGCAGGTAAAGCCGTTGCCTGAGTCACTGGCATCCCATGTGGGTGCTGGTTCAAGTCCCGGCTGCTGCACTTCCAATCCAGCACCCTGCTAATGGCCTGGGAAAAGCAGTATAAGTTGGCCCAGGTGTTTGGGTCCCTGCATCCACGTGGGAGACCCGAATGAAACTCATGGGCTTCAGCCTGACCCAGTTCTGGCCTTTGCGGCCATCTGGGGAGTGAAATAGTGGATGGAAGATCTCTGTCTCCCCTCTTTCTGTGTAACTCTGCCTTTTCGAGAGATAAATACATTTTTTATTGCTGTACATCTGAATGGACGCGGGCTCCATGACAGAAGTACCTGTTCCTCCGGTGACAGCTCCCCTGAGGATATCACCATTTCTCTGATCAATGGTTTTCTATCAAAAAGACAAAGACAGACTTTTCAAAACCACAGTTCCAAGTGAAAGGCAGCCAGCAAACAGGCACGGGAAGTGGGTGGAAGGGCCGCCTCCATACCTTATCTGTGGCGTCTGTCCTCCGGGTCCTCTTCATAATCTCCTCAAGTCGCTGTGAGAAAGGAAGGGATCGGGAAGGGGATTAGACCCAGAAAAGCAGCTAGGCTGGCACGGTCCGCCCACGACATCGACAGGCTGCTAGCATGTCTGGTATTGGGGAAAATAAGTGCGCTGGTTTGCCTTCACAGGAGTTATTCAGGAAAGCTGGAGGGGCGTAAGCCCCTGAAGTGAAGGAACTGTTTTGGGCAAGGGCTGCGACCGAGGAGCTGGTCTGCAGGGCAGAGCACGTGTGCTTTCTGCCAGCAGTGAGTGAGTGAGTGAGTGAGTGTCTTCAGGGGGCTCCAAGCCTGGGAAGACTCGGAGCGCTTTGCATCCCAGGCAAGCGCTGTCAAACCAGGTACCTTCTTCCTCTCCAGGCGTTCCTGCTCTTCCCGCTGGAAATGCCTCTCCCGCTCCTGCCGGACGCGCTCTGCTTCTTCGCGAACACGAGCTTCTTCTTCCTTCTGAAGACAGAAAGGCAGGGCAGGGCTCGGCACAGGGGCTGAATGCTGCCTGGGACGCCCACGTCCCACATCCGAGGGCCTGGGTTCAAGTCTCGGCTCCACCCCGATCCCAGCTTCCTGCACACGTGCTCCCTGGGGTGCAGCAGGTGAGGGTTCAAGTACTTGGATCTCTGCCACCATGTGGGAGACTCAGATGGTGCTGCTGGCTCCTGGCTTTGGCCTGGCCCAGCCCTGGTTCTTGCGGGCATTAGGGGAGGGGGGCCAGTGGATGGGAGATCTCCCTCTCTCTCTCTCGGCCTTTCAAATCAAATGAAAACAATGAAAAATGCTTTAACAAGCTGAGAAATGGCATAAAAAAGATATAAAAGTAAAAAGAGGGCCTCTGCTTCTCACAAACGTGAGAAGCTGTGCCTGCTGCCCGGTCTCTCCGACACACAGAGGTGGTGGCGGCCTGAAGGCAGAGGGCGTGTGGGTGGGAAATGGGAGCACGCACTGGCAACCTGGACTATTTCTTTTTCTTTTCTTTTCTTTCTTTATTTGCAAGGCAGAGTTACAGAGAGAGGGAGAGACAGACAAAGGTCTTCTACCTGCTGGTTCACCCCCCAAATGACCACAACGGCCACAGCTGGGCCGATCTGAAGCCAGGAGCCAGGAGCCTCCCTTGGCTCTCCCACATGTGTGCAGGGGCCCAAGCACCTGGGCCATCTTCCACTGCTCTCCTAGGCCATAGCAGAGAGCTGGATCGGAAGTGGAGCAGCTGGGACACAAACTGGCACCCACATGGGATGCCGGCACTGCAGGTGGAGGCTTAGCCCACTAAGCCACAGCGCCGGCCCCAACCCAAGTGTCTAACAGCCCCTGAACAGTTCTCTGCTCAGCTCTGATGGGCAGGCCGCTCTGGAGCAGGCGGCCGAGGCCCCGCACCTGCTTCTGCACACGCTCCATCTCCTCCCGCTCGCGCTGCTCCCGCTCTTGAGCCTGGAGCCGCAGGTGCTCTTCCTTCTCCCGGGCTTGCTCGGCTTCTATCCGCCGGGATTCTTCCTCGCGGCGCGTCCTCTCTTCGGCCACCCTTTGAGCCAGTTCCTCTCTCTTTTGTCTGCAAAGAGACAAGAACACGACCAAGGCACATGAGGGGAAGCCCTAGTTTGTAGATGCGGCAAGGAAGTCGTGCATGTTGAGAGGCGGGGCAGAAACACCTGCCACCGCTACCTCCTGTGGGGCCTCGGGAACCAACCTGAGGCACCCTGACCCTTCCTCCTCCCTTCCCGGCTTCCTGCTGCCTGCGGCACACACAAGCAAAACACAAAGGCCGATAGTCTCAGGACGGCTTCCTTTTGTCAAGCACCTGTCATTTAGCTCTCTTTAAAGACTGAGCTTGCTTAGCCAAATGTGACTTCTCAGTAATGAATCTGAAGCCCCCTCTCAAGGGCATTCTTTGCAGGTAAGTGGAGGTCAGGAGGGTCTGTCCTAGGATGGAAGGGGGATGGGCCACATAAGCTCCCTGTTGGGACCATGGGTGAGCCAGGAGCAAGATGGTGGCCCCAGCGCTGGTGTCAGTCCTTCCCTGAGGTGCAGGTTGGTTTCTGTGAAGAACAATTCCATGTGTGGTAGCCTTCTCTTGCCCTAGAGCACCGCCTAGTAGGAAGACTCTCCCTGGCATTGCCTGGCATGCAAACATGGGCTACTTAAGCATTACACCACTTTAGGATGCTAAGTAGGAAGATAATGAGGAAACCTGGAGATGCAGAATATGCTAAGTACAACAGTAGACTGTATGGCCATCTCTACTGAGGCTGTAGCTACGTCAACATACGTATATAACCATGCACACACCCCCCACACCCTACAAACACAATGTCAACATTTGTGAGTGTGAGTATGCATGTAACCATACACACACCCTACACACGTGATATCAACATACGTGAGTGTGTGTATGTTATTGTGCACACACACCCTACACACGTGATGCCAACGTTCGTGAATGTGTACCAACATTCATGGGTATATACACCTTATACACATACACACTGTTTCCAAGGCTGCAAAGGACCACCCCAAATGTAGACAGTTTTAGAAAATTGCTAGGAAGATGGATAGTTCTTTTTCCCCTTTAAGCCTTTCTCCACCTCCAAATGAGAGAACAGGATTTAAAAAACAATCCCTTAGTGATACATGAACACCAATGCAGGACTAATTCTCAAACAATGAATCCATCCCCTTGGAGTCAGAGGGCTCCCTTAACCCGAGGCATTAGCATGGCTTCACCGGCTTCATGCCCTTGGCCAGAGCTGTCCCCTTACCGTTCCAGCTCTTCCCTCTCCCGCCTCTCCCTTTCCTCCTTCTCTCTCTGCTCTCGGGCCAGCCGTCTCTTCTCAGCTAGCAGACGGGTGGCCTCTTCCGGGTCGGTGGTGCCTGCGGACGTCTTGGGAGAAGCAGTGGCCGTCACAGGGGCGGCCGGGCCGGGGGCCTCGGCTGGGCCCGCGGCTGGAGCTGGTGCCTCAGCTGGAGCAGCTGCAGAAACAGGTACAAGGAGAAAATCAGCTGGAAACAGAATCCGAAGAATAAAACAAACACCAGCATTCCCCACATCCTAGGCCTCGACTTCATCACGATAAAGGAAGAGGGAATGTTGACTACCCTGTGTTCTCACAGGTTCGCTGGGTTCTATCTGTAACCAGGCGACAGATCACAAAAGACTGCAGGAGTGAGTGAGGCACCCAACAAGGCTGACGCTCTGCCACTAGTTCTCGGTTTTATACCTGTTAAATCGGCTAACAGCGCGTCCAGGATGGGGGCTGGGTGAGTCTCATGGAAAGGAAGACAACATCTCCCCTGTTAGACTTTAACGATTGCTGTTCTGTGGTAACTGCCCATCACCACAGCACCAAAGCCTCTCTGTGACTGTCCGCGGGGTCCATGCAACAAATCCAGACTCAGGCTGTGAAGGTAACATCCGGGGAAGGAGCTCATTGTTGGAGCTCATTGTCTGGGTCCCAGGTGGGAGGAGCCACGGCCTCAGTGGGAGCTGGCACTCATGCTTCCGTGGCCTGGCCTCCACTGTGATCCCATCCCAGCTGGCAGAATGGGAGAAGTTCTCTAACAGTACTCAGATTTACGGAGCTGAGCCAGGACCCTCCTTTCCTTTTCCTTTTTTTTTTTTTTTTAAAGATTTATTTATTTATTTGAAAGGCAGAATTACAGAGAGACAGAGACAGAGTAGAGGCAGAGGCAGAGAGAGAGAGAGAGAAAGTGAGAGTGAGCGCTTCCATCTGCTGGTTCTGTCCCCAAAGGGCCAGAATGGCCAGAGGAGGGCCAATCCAAAGTCAGGAGCCAGGAGCTTCTTCCAAGTCTCCCACATAGCTTGCAGAGGCCCAAAGACTTGGGCCACGATCTGCTGCTTCTCCAGGTGCGTTAGCAGAGAGCTGGACGGGAAGTGGGGTGGCCAGGACTCAAACTGGTGCCCATATGGGATGCTGGCGGCTTTACCTGCTAAACCACAGCACTGGGCCCGGGCCCCTCCTTTTCTAGTTCTGCATTTGAACTTCCATTACCGTGATGCTGCTCTCGGGTCCTACTCCTCCGCCACTTTCCATGCAAGCAAACGCTGGGCTCCTCCATGCTCTGACATTCTCATCTGTCTTGAATCACCTATTCTTTCTTGGCCCCTACCCGTGATCCTCAAGTCTTCAGCAGAAAACTTTTGAAGGAAGACACTTTTTAACTAGAAATACGGAATTCCTAGCTCTAAGTGATTCTAAATTTCAAGGTAGCACATAGTTAACCTCCCAGAGGTAGGACCACAGGGTCTTCTGGGAGGACATTTTATCTTCTGTCAAGCACACGGGTTAAGCCAATGGTGGTACGTAAACTCTAGCATCCAACGGAACAGGGCTGCCAGATTTAACGGGAACCAGCTGACGAGCCTATTCTTTTAACGAGTCCTTGCATCAGGCGCCACATGTTCTCATTCTACTGAATGGGAGGTAAGGTCTCTATTTCGAAACATCAGAAAAGCTGGTGGCTTAGAAATAGCTCTGCCAGTGAAAACAGTTAAAAAAAAAAAAAAGGAAGGAAGGAGAAAGAGAGAGAGAAAGAAGAGAAGAGGGGCACGTGTTTGGCCTAACAGAGGTTAAGATGCCACTGGGGACGCCTGCATCCCGTATCTGTGGGGCCTCGCCCTGCTCCTGATTCCAGCCTCCTGCAATGCCCACCCTGGGAGGAAGCGGGTGACGGTTTAACTACTTGGGTGCCTGCCAGCCTTGTGGGAAACGCAGATTGAGTTTTTGCCCCCTGGCTTTAGCCTGGCCCAGTCCCAGCTGGTTGAGGGCATCTGGGAAGTGCACCAGCAGATGGAAGCTCTGCCTCACTCTGGCTCTCCCTCATCTCTCTGTAACTCTGCCTTTCAGGAAAACAAATGAATCTTTAAGAAAACAGCAACAACAAAAGCTAAACTAACCATAGGAGCAAACCTGGGGCACGGGAGGGGTGTGTGTGGGGGAATTCTATCTGCTGGTTCACTCCCCAAATGGCTACAACGGCCTGAGCCAGGCCAGGCCTAAGCCAGGAGCCAGCAGTGTCTCTCAGATCTCCAACATGGGTTCGGGGCCCAAGCACTTGGGCCATCTTCTGCTGCTTCCCCAGGCACATTAGCAGGGAGCGGGATCAGAAGTGGAGGAGCCGGGACACAAATGGAGGCTTACCCTTCTCAGCCTCGGCACGGCCTGAGGCAGTCTGTTCTTACCAGTGTCGGCTTCTGGCTCGCCAGGTGTCCCCTCTTCAACCGTGGCTTCTTCCACCCTCACTAGAGGTGTTCTGCCCTTCAGTGCAGGCTCGTTGGCAACTTTCGGAGGCTCCTTCTGGGGGTCTTTTTTCTCAGGCTCCACTCGGACTTCTCTCTTGAGAGGGCGGATGTTGCCAGGGGAAGGGGGCCGGACCTGAGCGGGAGCAGCTTTGATGGCGCCAGGAGGTAGGGAGGATGCTGGGCGCGGTGTGCCGGGCAAGTGAGGAAAGGACTTGGACGGGAGCCTGGGGACCAAAGACAGCGAGCAGAGAGGAGCGCATCAGAGCAGGTTTGCACCACCCGCGAGGCCAAGCTACGGAGCAGAAAAGCTGATACTTCATCAAGGGCAGGTGTTACATACTGGTATCAGCAGAAATTGAGTCCCCTTAGAGCTCGCTTTCCGTGTTCCTGTTTCTGTCCTTTAAGGAAGACTGGGATCCCCGAAGCCCAGGAGACTGGGGAGAGCAGCTCAATTTCAGAGGACAGAGAGTGGCCCCCTGGTTTCACTTACCGAAGTTGGTAGGAAGTCGGCGACCTCGCTTTGGGATTCGATGGAGACAGAGCCCGTCGGACGCCGGGTGTGAGGTGGAAGGGGATGTTCTCTCGATCTCTGTCTCTCTTAGAGCCCTGAGTTCAGAGAGACTCAACAGTTAGATTTCTCCCACAAGTGAGACACTGGACAGCAGCGCTACAAATCATTTAATGGCTTTTCAGAAATTTTGTGAGCCATGTCACATATATCCATGCCACTCCAACAAAAGGGCCATGTTACCTTAAACCTCAACACCATGGCTCAAGCAGTGTGATGTGACACGACTAAGATGGCTCGGGATGTGTGATTTGAAGATATATTTGCTTAAGAAAATCACATTTTTTACAAAGCACCCACGTAGTTTGTATCTAAAATGACCTGGAGCAAAGTCTGACTATGGTTTATCACCAACAAATGTCAAAAGCCACTTTTTGTTCTTTTAAACCTTTAATTAAAACACGTCATTTTCTTTTTTAAATTCTTTAGCATTTTTCATTTCAGAACAAAATTTACATGGAGGCTACACCAGATGTTACTTTATTTTTTCTTATATTGATGTTAGAGAAATAAGTCCTCCCTCTCAGATGCTGTGGCGCAGCGGGTTAACGCCTTGGTGTGAAGCGCTGGCGCCCCATATGGGCGCCGATTCAAGTCTCGGCTGCTCTTCTTCCAATGCTCTTTGCTATGGCCTGGGAAAGCGTAGAGGATGGCTCAAGTCCTTGGGCCCCTGCAACCGTGTGGGAGACCTGGAAGAAGCTCCTGGTTTCTGGCTTTGGATTGGTGCAGCGCTGGCCGCCAGCCATTTGGGGAGTGAACCATCGGATGGAAGACCTCTCTCCATCTCCCTGCCTCTTGTTAACTCTGACTTTCAAATAAATAAATAAATATTAAAAAAAAAAAGTCCTTCCTCTCTTGCTCTTGCATTAGAAAGTTAAGGTCAAGGTGAGGAATTTTAGCTAATTTTGCTCTTAACCAGTGATGAGAGTGAAATCTGCCAGGTAGGAACTAAGCCAGAGAGATATCTTTCCTCAGCTGAAATGGGCCAGGGGAAGCCCAGAGACGTGTTCTGATATTCTAAAATCCCTCAAGACCTTCCCTCCCATGCTCGCCCACAACCCCCAGGGCAAAACCTACCCATTCCAAGAGTCTGAAACTTCCTGACAACGCTGTGGTCTGGGAATGGGTGTGTGCTGGAGGCCCCTCTGTGAACACTGGCCAGGAAAGCAGTCTGAGAGGGTGCCAAGAAAGGGGTGGAATTTTATCCAGCCCCTGCACAAATCAGCTAGTAGCGATCTCTTCTCTCCTTTTCTGCCCACACAAGCATCAGGTCTTTTCCTTCCTTTCCCTTTTATTCCTCTCACTGTCCCTTCCAGTAGCTTCTCTCCATTTCCTCAATAGCGTCCTAGCCAAGGGACTGGGATACGGGTCGGGGAAACCGGCTATGTGCCACGTAAACTCACTTCCTCCTCACAATTTCTAAACAGAAGAAATGAATTCAGGGCAGGACATAGCTTCATCAGGTAAAGGTTGGCTCTCCATTTCCAGGGGCCGTGATGACCCTCTGCCTACCTGCCTGGTTCCAAGAGGCAAGAGGCAGTTTCTCAGAGCAGCTTCAGACTCTGGACAGCAAAAACTGCCATCGATAAAAACACTCCTGACTCTTCTCACCTGAGTTAACAGTGAATGATTTTATCCAATCATCCTTCATTTTAAAACCTTCCACAAAGCTAAGGGGGAACACACATAGCAAACTGCCTGTGTCTAGGTTCTGAACATCCTACTGGCAAGAGAAGGGTTTTACTTTTACAATTAAAGGTAGGTTCAGAGAATAAATATCACTCAAGAGAGACAAACACTGATAGATAGTCTGAGGCAGTGCCGTCCAATGGAACCTTCCATGATGACAGTGATGTTCCAAGTCCATGCTAATAGGGCAATCTGAGTTTAGCTCTAAATTGGTAATTTACATATGATATAAATGGAAATTAAGAAAACAATTCATTTATGAGAGCATCAAAAAGAATGAAATACTTAGGAATAAACTTAACCAAGGAGGCCCAAGACTTGTATACAGAAAACTAAAAGACCTTTCTGAAAGAAATTGAAGGTGACACACATTGAGGGAAAGAGAGCCTGTGTTCAGGTACTGAAAGACAAACTGTTAAGATATCAATACTATCCAAAACTATCTGTGGATTCCATATGCTCCCTATCAAAATACCAATGTCATTTTTTTTTGTTTTAGATTTATTTTATCTATTTGAAAGGCAGAGTGACAGAGGCAAAGACAGAAAGAGATCTTTCATTCGTTCACTGTCCAAATGGCCACGAGGGTCAGGGCTGGGCTAGGCTGAAGCCAGGAGCCAGGAACACCATCTGCCCTCTGTTACAGGATCCAGCATCACAGGAAGTGGTTTAACCTGCTGTGCCACAATGCAGTCCCCCAATGCCATTTTTTTTTTTTTTTTTTTTGCTGAAACAAAAAAGTCCACCTAAAAATTCATCTAGAATCTCAAAGGAATCTGAAGAGGCAAAACCATTTTAAAAAAGAACAAGAACAAGGTTGGAATCTCAAACTTCCTGATTATAAAACATATTGCAAAGCTACACACTAAACAAAACAGCGTGTGATGGTACAAAGGCAGATATATTGATCAATGGCCTGGAATATAAAGCCCAGAAATAAACCTTCGTGTACATGGTCACAGGCCAACAACACTCAATGAGGAAAGGACACACTCTTCGGCATATGGTATTAAAGTTGGACCTTTACTTTATACGGTAATATACAAATATTAACTTAAAATGGATTAAAGACCCAAAGTAAGACTTCTGTGAAACTATTGGAAAAAAATAGGTGAAAAGCTCCATGACATTGGATTTGATATTCATTTCTTGCTTATTATGCCAAAAGCCTAGGCAGTAAGGCAAAATAGACAAATGGGACAAATAACAAACTAAAAATCCTCTGTGCATCAAAGGTCCCAATCAAAACAGTAAAAAAAGCTTATATGGGATGGGAGAAAATATCTGCAAATCATAAATCTGAAAGGTAAGGAGTTAATACCTGAAAAGTATTAGTAATTTCTACAAGTCAACAACCAAACAAGTCGACTCAAAAATGGACAAAGGACATTTCCCCAAATAATACAGAAACAGCCAACAAGCACGTGAAAAGATACTCAACACTGGAGAAATGCAAATCAAAACCACAATGAGCTATTACCTCATCTACTAGGAGGGCTATTCTTGTAAAACAGAAAATAGCAAGTACTGGTGAGGAGATGGAGAAACTGGAACTCCTGTGTACTGCTGGCAGGAACGTAAAATAGAACAACAGCTATGGGAAACAGTATGGCAGCTCCTCAAAAAAATTAATATGTGATCCAGCAGTTCTACTTCTGGGTAGATATTCACAAGCACTCAAAGAGGGAGTCACACAACCACGTTCATAGTAACATCATTTGTGATAATCGAGAGATGGGAAGCAGCCAGATGTCTACCAGTGGGTAAATGAACAAATGTGCGTGTATGCACCATAGAACGCTATGCAGCCTTTAAAAGGAAGGAAATTGTGACGCGTGCTACAAGGATGAATATTGAGGACATTACACTAAGCGAAATAAGCGAATCACAAGAATTTGAAAACTGCCTGATTCCACTTATGTGAGCTATGTAATAGCAGCCGCCAGTCACTTCATAGATAAAGAAGTTCAGTTTTGCAAGATTAAAAAAAAAAAAAAAAGTTCTAGAGATCAGCTGTACCACAATGTGAATATACTGAACACCGAAGTTAAAAATGGTTAAGATGGGAAATTTTGCTATGTGTCTGTGTGTTTTCTACCATGATTAAACATTTTTTAAAAATTAAAATTTTGGCTTGTCCTGCCAGCCACTTTTCCATTACTCACTGTGGTTTGTCACTGCAGAATTGCACAGGGCAGTTCCAGGGAGGCATTTCTGGCAGGAGGTATTTGCCTGAATAGCCCACAGTAAAGAGGTGAAAAGAAGGCTAATTGACCAAATACAGAAAGAGAAAGTTGCAGTAAAAAAGGGAAAAAAAATAAAACCCACAAGACTCTGGATCTTGTGATGATAAATCCCTCCTCTTATTCAAGTAGCCAGGGGTCAGCCCTGGGCCTTCCCTCAAGGACTGTTCATTTTTGTTTTTATCTGTAACAAGATATTTTTCCTTTGGTAAATGCTCTTTTCCCCTTCCCAAGAAGTAGCCAGAGCTTTCCCTCTTGTCCACAGCTAGGCTCTCCCAAGCGCAAGCGCACTAATGAACTCAAACTTCACAGACATCAAAGGTAGTTTCACCTTTGGCTTGCTGGGCTGGGGGCCTGACTCTCTCAAGAATTCAACAGTGATATTCCCAAGGCCGACAGGATCTTGAAAGAAAACTGCCTCTAGGCAAAGCTGCCAGAGTTCTCCAAACCCTCAAATTATCCTGTAAGCAAAAGCCTTTAAAGTGTCCATCAGCTTTATAAATCCAAATTGCTCTGGGAAGTTAAGATTAAAACAAAACAAAAAAAAAGTCCTAGCCTTCCATGCAAAGGATCATAGTATTATCAAGGGAGAGAGGCAAGGAGATCTTCTGTTTGATCGTCCAGACTTTGAGGATTCAAGTACAAAGCCTAAAGACTGTAGAACAATGTCTGCATCTTTCAATGGATTCCAAACACAGTAAGACGCAGTAGGATTCCCGGAGACATTCCAGTTACCTCACTGCATTTATAGCGTGGTGAAAATGAACATGAGCTCGGCCACCTTACCAGTAATACAAATTACATTCTGCACCTGCAAAATGTTGAGTTTGCTGCACATTCCAAGAGCCTTTCAAGAATTGGTTATTTAGCACAAAACTAGTGTTTTCAAAATACCTTTTTTTTTTTACTATATTTTAAGATATGGGCCTGAGGGCAGTTGGCTGCACGGGATAAAAACTCCTGCCCTGGCTTTGCACTTACTTGTATGAAGGCTTTAGCCTCAGATGTTTAGGGAGGGCAAAGTCCCCACGTGGAGATGAAGTAGGAGGACAGTATTGTCCAGCCAGCAAGATTTGTGAAGGGTGGGATGGATGCCACGGTGGGTGGCTCTGCCACCTCCCCCTCATACCCACAATGCACCTCAGCGTGGCGTCTGTTCTGCCCCAATCAGCAGTGTCACCCAGACTTGCCGACTGCTCCCACCAGCTACTCACCGCCGTGCCATGAATGGTCCTCCTGCGTGCAGAGCCCTCGGATGGCGTTACAAAGAGTTTTGGTCGATCCACCGGATGTCTAGAGTGTGCGGCTTTGGAGGGCATGGAGATGGGGCTGCAAGATGCTGAACGAGGACAAATGGGGATGACTAGGGTGCAGGGCATTGGTTTTACACACAAGAGTGCCAGGGGTGCAGCTGAAGAAAGCCAAAAGCAGGTTCAGGAAAAGGAGCAAAGCAGAGGTAGAGAGAAAAGCAGGGAGAAGATGTTATTACCTAACGGTGCCCAGAACCATCGCACGCAACTCTCCTCACAGTCCTATGAGAACACGGTGTGTCCAAAAGTAAGGCACGTCCATGTGAAAAGTCTGTGGTATGTCGCTAGCTGTTAGCCTATTAAAATGTGGTTAGAAACACAGATTGTGGAGAGCAATGGCTTTAGATTCCACTAAACTGATGGTTCTGGAAAAATACCACATTTGTGATACAAGATAATCTTTATATGAGCACTGGTATATTATCAGATTTTTTTCTCAATTAGTTTTAAGATAGAAGAAGAGATGGAAAGAGAGGAAGCGTGCAAGCAGACAAGCAAGGCACATTAGAATATTTCCAGAGTTCAGTTCAACAGCAGGGGTGGGGGTAAGGAAGCCAACTGAATTGAAAAAAATCTTAAGTGGTCAAGTCTTACCAAGTGTTAAGACTTGTTTTAAGTACCAACATCCAGGAAAAAAAAATTCTGCAAATGTCTTTTCTAAAGGCAAACCAAATGCATGCTTGGGTCTCCCTCAAAACCAAGGCATTTGATGGTTTATAAGAAGCAGCAGAACGTATGAGGAAATGGGGTGTAACTACTGATAATAGTGAACAGAACACAAATATGTTAGAACTGTGAAAAATAAGGTTGAATCATGAAGAGCGCTTATAGTTTTACTTAGCAAGGAATATTTTGTTCAAAAACTATATAGTTCCTGCAAAATCATCTTCAAAGACACTGTCATTAGTCACATTATTCTGAGCAATACTGGGTTTACGGGAATTCATATGACATGGCACAGGTAAGCCAACCACACGTGTGGGTGCTAAGATTCCAAGGGTCATCCTCAATGTCATTCAGATGCTGCTTTCCCACAAACAAAGGCCATCAAGCATGATGACTCAGGAAAATACTACATATTTGAACTGGGTTATAAAGTGATTTCACCCATGTCTAGTTCTTGTAGCAATCCTTTAAACAGAAGAGTATGCCAGCTGAATTGAATAGTTTTAAAAAATTAAAAACTCAAAAATTTCTAAGACAAATTTGGGGTAATTTTAATTTCCAAAGTATAGAGTTCAGTGTCCATCATCAGACTGTATCTTCATTAATAAATATGCTCTCTTTGATTAACTGCCTTCAATTATCTTCTGGCCTTCACTGAATGGTTAAGGCAGTGAAGAGACTGGAAAGTATGTTTTCATTTCCTGTCATCTGAAAACAGAATTTTATATCTAAGGGAAAAATTGAAACATTCTTCATTCCCTCAGTTCTCCTTAAAACAATAGGTGTCTTGGGAGCAGACATAGAGTTTTACTGCTGACCTTGAGAGTGCAGGCAGGATTTACAACATGAAGAAGAACCTCTGTCATTTTGCGTGTCCTGATCACAGGGGAGCCTATTTGAAAACAACCTTTTGTGAAGCGACACAGGGAAATATTAGCATTTTTCAGACAAGGAAGAGGTTCATTAATGCAAAACTCTTCCAGGTCAATCAAATGCATTGAAGGAGTAACATCTGGGCACAAGGCACTACAGGGGATGAAGGACCCAGGAGAGGCACATATCTGCCTAGGGCACAGCCAGAGGCCATTGACCTTGCTCAAGGATTAGGAAACCCCAGAAAACAGCCTTGCTGTGAGGCCAAGGGTCTAGCACTGAAAAGGAACCAAGCATAAACATTTTATTTATTTTTTCTTGCGTGGAAAATCAAAATTTCACAAGGCATCTATGGAGAATTTTCTGATGTAAGCCAATCTCCCCATTTCTTCTGGTTTATTCTTTATCACAGTGTTGAGGAAATAGTAAATGTATGTTTGAAATGTTCTTAATCCTATTTAGTGTAGTCTGTAAAAAAACTTCAAGTTTAAGTGTCCAAGGAACACCTTCTGACTAAAATAAACATTATAAATTCCTTTAAAGGATATTAAATTCCATGGAAATTAACTGTTGCTCTGAACATCAATTATCAAAATATACAAACCCTTCAAATAAATTATTTGAATAATCCTGCCTTTCTGAAGAAATATTGTTTCATATGAGTTACTTTTTCCCAGAGTATCCTCCATATCCCAAGTATGTGGTTTCATTAAACATAAACATTCTCTTATGGAAATGTCCTTGGCAAAGTTTCCTCAGTCTATGTATTTCTTCTGTTCTTGGTAGTGACTGTATATTAATTTAACTCATTTAAGATCTTCACAAAATGAGTGCAGAGAAAAGACACTGCATTTCACACGGGTAGAGTATAGCAAAGAGAACAGAAAAACTGTAGAATACTTAGCATTTATTGAAGGTCTATTACCTGCAGTTACCTAGGGCAAGGCTTGTCTGGTCTAGTTAAGTTTCCATCCCCTAATCTAGCACTGTTCCTCTTTGAGAACAGGATGCTATGGGTAGTTCTTCCACAGGAAAAGGTTTGAATCAGAGATCCAAGATAGAGGCCAAGGTGACCTCAAGACTCATTATAATCTCATTTCCAAATTAAAAAAAAAAAAAAAAGTACTCCTACCACTGCCATCACAGTAGGCTATTGCCATGACAACTAGTGGATGAGATCCTGGAAGTATGAGGAGTTAGGATAATAGGCAGCTAGGCCAGATCCCTGTCAGAATGAGAAAAGGGGCAGAGTCCCTTTAAGAGTGGACAAAGTGCTTGCTTCTTCCCAGAGGCTGCCTTTAGCAACATTAGTTTCATATGAAAACAGCCTAGACAGAATAACTCATTCCAGCCCTATGACAGGTTTTTAGTTTTACCATTAGAGCAGGCTAGACAGGATTACAAATTCTAATCTTTTGATGGGGTTTTATCCCTGCCTCTGATTGGTTGTTACTCTAGCCCTCTGATTGGTTGTTAGCTGTTATTCTGCGCCTCCCCTGATTGGTTAAATCTAGGTGGTCACTTTTGTCATAAAAGAGCCAGTACAAACAGGTTCCCCTGGCACTTTCTCCCTGAAGTCCCCTCCTATCTGCCATGGCAGAAGTTTCTTACTTCTATAAATCTTGCTTTGCTCACTATCTCAGTCCACATGGAAATTCTTCGATGGGAGACAAGAACTGTGATTGTCTTTGTCATCCCATAACAAAATTCCTGACCTGCCACTATTCCTGTGACCCTGTATCTATGACTCCTCAGCTACCAGCAGATTAAATTGATTTGCCAGCTGGGATCCATTTTTCCAATCTTTGACCACCAAATAGAGCTTATACTGTTGATGCTTAGCTTTGGTTTTGCTTTTAGCTTTGCAGCACCGAATGGACAAAGGACCTGATTTTGGTGTTCTTCCCTGAAAGGAGGGATAACAGTACTATTCTAAGCATGTTATATGTATAATTTATTTAATCCTGAGCTCTATTAGTCACACATATTTTGAATGTTTTGGGAAAAATGGGCAGCTGTTGCAAATGAGAGGTCTCCAACTTGGATTTTCAACTCTCAACTGCTCTGTTGCCTGCTCAGAGAGGCTGCAATCTGCAGACACCCTACCAGTTAAGGGTCGCTGTTTAAATCTGCTGGTGCAACCCTGGCTCTGAACATTGGCCTAACTTTAGCCAAAGGCAACTGGGACTGTGATGAAGTCAAGAGACAACACTAAAAGGTAGACAGAAAGAATGACTGGGACACAGATGGAAAAATAAAAATGGCATAAAAGGTGTCTTTTAAAAAAGAACTGGAGAGATGTTTACGTACATAATATCAAATGGAAATTCAAAAAACATGCCTACCTTTGGTTCATTATACATAAGCTGTATCAATGTGATAGGTAACAATGATCTAGGGAATATACTGATAAAATAGGCAACTCAAGTAATGGCTATGCCATGCTCCACACTAAAATAAATTACACAGGCATATTGGTTTGTAAAAATGAGAATAGAAAATCGCAAAGTAAAGAGGAGCCAGTGTGCAGATAAGAAGCACCTGGATGGAGCATAACAGGAAGGAAGGGGGGAAGCTGGGCAAACAGAATGAGTGGAGAATGAGGAAATGGTGTTGGGAAAGACTAGAGGAAGAGAATTGAGACAAGTTAGTGATGACAGAAACAGCAAAGCGAGGCAGTCCTTCAGCACAGCACAAGACACAGTGCAGGGATTCCAAAGCACGATGACCATGAACTACTAAGATCTCATGAAACAGGACGGAGGAGTGCTTTTAAGAATTCTTCAATTAGTTAAACACAAAGAAAGACTTCCATGACTTGTAGACAGTTGCAGGCATAAGAAAAAGCTATCTTGAAATAAACTGTACTTTTTACTCCAGAAAAATCTCGGAAGCAACATGACAGTTCTCCCAGGAGGGCTTTTTTACAGAAAGCCCAGAACACTGAGGGCCAGGGGGCTGCCTGCACAACTGTACACAGAGCAGCTCTCTGGGTGCCAGGGAGGCAGAGGCGGACACCTGCTGTCACTGCACTTGGCGTCCAGGAAGAAGGTGGTGGCTATGCCTCAACTTGCTTCCTGGACTGATTCTCAGAGGTACTGTGAGAAGCAGGGTTGAGACTCATTAGCTCATCGGGCACTGCAGATGAAAGACATCGTAAAGCTCTCAAGAATTACTACTTGCGAAGTGGGCTAGTGAACATGAAGAGGCTTGTTGAGGCAAAGCACTTTTAAAAGGGCCTTTACGAAGCGGGTATGAAATTTCCTAAGGGCTGAAGATCAGGGCTGGCAGATGGGTAACACACACAATGGTGCCCAAGGAAATCTGGGAAAATTGGAATTAGCTCACTATGATGCTACCAAACATGTTCCTCTCACCAGCTAGAGACAGGTGCTACCAACATTGAGTTCTCATCAAATGGAGTGGCTCATTCAGGCATGCTTTGCATTTCAAAAAAGTACACGAGTCATAACTCATTGTGAGAACCAGTCTGAGGCATGTTTTGCATATTTTCCAAGACTGTAACAATTAAGTATACTATAATGAGCCTTCTCCACAGCTTGCAGATCTAGGAGGTCTTGGTTCCTAGATGACACACAAGACTGGCACAGGAAGGCTAAGTAGCTACTCCAGTCACAATAGAAAACTATGCTTTAATAACAGCTTGGGCATTGATTTTACTCCCAAGCCCACCTGGGAGTGTTCACTTTAAATTATTTCTACCTTTGATCAATGGCTCAGATACAGGCAGAAGCAAAGGCAGGTAGGGGATACTGGTTTCTGGTGATGCTGCGGACAGGCAGAAGCACCTGAAGCCATCCGATCGCAGGGAGGGGCCTCGTCTGTCTGCCTGGCGTCTGGTGTCCAGATAAGATGCTAAGCTGGATGCTCAGAGACAATGGCGGGGCAGGAAAGCAACACCAACAGACGTTTTCCACAGGGAGAAGAGGGAAGCGCATATTAGGAGAAACCGAGATGCGATCAGGAGAATGTTGGCGACTCAGGCACGCTTCGAAAGCGGGACTTCACCTCACCAGGGAAGGACGTGGCCCCTGCCAGTTTTACCTGCTTCTCCAGACAGGGCAGCCGTGCTTTTACTTCTGGCCAGGAACGAGTGTGTGGGCGTCAGGAGTCTGTTAACAACGCTGCTCTCCCACGGGCTGAGCTGCAGGCGGCGAGCTAGACGTCACCACATAAGCAAGATGTTAGAGGCATTCTTTGAGGGTCAGGAGGATGCAGAACATCATCCCTAGGGCTTCCCTATGCAGTGCCTTCCAGAGAGAAGACCACGCTCTCCAGGGAGGGCAGCTGGCTGGCAGTCAGGGCAAGAGGAACGCAGGCCAAAGGCAGCAGCCACTGTACCAGGTTGCCTTTTTTTTCTTGCAAGATGTAAATTTTGCAGTGGGTTGTAAATTAGTTTTACAGGTGCAAATTTTCCAGTCAACAGGAAATAAGACAGAAATATGGCTTCAACTGCAGATTTGGAGTGTGTGGGTAACTCTAGGGAGTATCTATCTTATGGGCCTTGGGATGCACAGCAGACCGGAAGGAGGGCACGCACCTCAGCTTCCCAGGTACCTCGAATAACAAACGCATAGGGTGCTGGTGGTGAACAAAGGCTGGTTTTATATAAAAGACAGAATGGCTCCCCATGAAATTATGCTACATCTCCATGAATAGCTACATAGGCAGTCAGTGGTGAAGAGCAGGAGTTAGACAGAACAACATGACAGAAGACTAATGTGGAGCTTCGTGTGGGAGTCCTTTCCCCTCCTCCATTCAGCAAGCTGGGTTCTTTCAGGTCCCTCTTTGGCAAAGAAATAAAAATTTGGGCCAAGGAAAAGGCTAAGACTGAAGTAAAGATTAAGTCAAGAAGCCAACATCCAATAAAAACACACCCTGAACATTACTAGTAGGCACCTGAAGACTCAAGAACACAAATTGAAAATAATGCAATGACATATGGTTCCAAATTATACTGGGGCTTGGCAAGACCATGGTTAGGAAATGCATGCCAATTTTCAATTAATGACTTTGTTTATAGTGTTAGCTTCCAGGGATGTCCCATGTTCATGCCGAAGGTATTTTACAAAAATACCAGCAAAGAAGCTTGCAAAATCTGATAAATATTACTGAAGTGATTATGTATCTCTATTTTAGACCACATTTCTACATCACTTATATAAAAGTGTTTAAAACTGTCTGAACCTGTCAAAGCCACTTCTATTCTGATCTACTAACAGCAGGTGCAAGAAGATGCCTTTGCCTCAGGACAGGTGGTTTTTTCAACAATTTTGATTATGTCATATTTTCAAGGCAAGACATTTCAATTCTAGGAAATTAGTTTTTAGTTAGTAAAAGTCATATTTTAAACATTGGTTTAGGAAAGATTTACTCTGATCTGTTAGGCAGTACCAAATTCCATAAGTACCTCATTTATTTGATCTGTTTTATTCTAAAAAAATTATTTGAGAGGCAGAGAGTACAAAAAAGAGAGAGAGGATAGGAAAGGAGAGGGGAGCAGAGTGGAGAGAAGTCCCCCACCTGGATGGCAGGAATCATGCTACTTGAGCCATCACCTGCTGCTTCCAGGGTTTGCATTAGCAGGAAGCTAAGTCAGGAGCCAGGGTTCGGGTATGGAACCCAGGTATTCCAATATGGGATGCAGACCACTAGGCCAAACATCCACCTCCCTGATTTTATTTTAAGAGTGGTTACTTTGGTCAAGGTTCCGGTGAATTTGAGAATTAGTGAATCATTCACTAGATTTTCTGTTTATTAGGAGAATATTTGTAGTTAATTATTATCTGACATTAAGACATTAATAAAAATATTACAAAAACTACTGAAATAGTTTTGGCCAGTACAAAATACCATCATCATAAACTATGGTATGGCAGTTTGTAGCCACAGACTAAAATACAACTTAAAATCACAATACCTTCATAGCATAAATTCAATGAGGAAAGAGTGATTAAGGTTAGCTGAAATCCTTCAAAGGAAATACCTTTTCAATAGATGAATGAAGGCTACCTTTTCTTAAAATGTAGCTTAGAACTACATTTGGGATTTTTATCATTGAAAAGAGAATCCTTCATTCTTTTCTCCATTAAGAAGTTCAATGACTTTATTTCTGTGAATCTTTAAGGCATCAACCAAAGAATTTGCCTCATATGAAGATCATTAAAAATCCATTTTAACTTGCATATCAAGCAAATCTGAAGAGATTTGTTTTATAGCTCCCAACACTGTGAATAAAAGATTTTACAAGGAGAAACATGTTTCTACTTCCACCACATTCACAACTGTGCTGAGAGATTCTGTAAGAAAATGTTTTAGTAAGGTTAGTAAAGGGAGTTTGTGTGTTTGTTTATTGATCTGTGTTTTAACATAGAGGGGCCTGACTTTCAGATTACAAAGGAAGAGATATCAAGTGCCATGGAACAACTTAAACACTCAAAAACCAGATACTGACAAATTCCCTTAGTAGACCACCCAGCCCAGACAAGACAAACTCAAAGGCTCCTAGGAGCCATGAAACTTAACACAAAAATGCGGTTTGGGCTCAAAAATACGGATTTCTCATGGAGTCTATTATTCACCTGGGGTAGATGATTCATCCGACAGGTGCCAGTTCTAAGAGCCTATTCTCTTAGGAATATCGTGTCAGATACTGTCAGGCAGGGCCCATAAAACATTTTCTTCCTAATTGATGCACTGTCCTTCCACAAAGGGAGGGGCAGCATATTGTCCAGTTCACGGCCCATCTCCTCATTCCCTTCCCCTAATTTCAGCCGCGTGACTGCAGGAGGCAGTAAGCAAAGTTTAACTTTAAAAAGTACTGTAAAATCCAAATTGCAGCTAGTCTCAGATCCAAGTTGGCAAAAGCATAAAACTGAAGTGCTGAATAAGTGAACAATTCCAAAAAAAGATTAAACAGGCAATTTTAAGAATAGCATTTGCATGCTATCTTTTATGTTAAATTAACGTAAATGGATTTGAAAGAAAATTATATTTAAAAAGGAAATTTTAACCCATATCATTTTAACATATGAAAGGCACCCAATTTGACTACATGTATTTAGGCAATGACTCAGGCAAATTAGGTTTCGAAAAAAGGAATGGTTTGGGTTAAAAGACAAGAATAGGAGTTGCTCAAATATTTACTGCTTTAAGAGATTAGTTATAAATAACATCAACACTCATATAATATTATACATTACAATGACACCATAAACTTTGATACAATATAAAATATACAAATGCACATACTACACACACAAACATGCACGCATTACATTCTTTTTAAAGACTACTAAAATGTCCCAGTTTCTTTATAAAGTACTCATAGTAAACACATCTTAATACTTTTAGAGAGTATGTGCTTCTATATTGCACATTAACTCTTTGGTTTTATTTAAAACCATCATGCTTATGCAGAACAAGTAGCTTAGCTTAGCTTAAAAGCTTGATTTTTCTTTCTATGAGAGATGTAAAATAAAAATTTCACTTTATAAATGACTCAACATTCATGTACTGTAAATCCATTGGATGAATAAAACTCAAAAGCCAAATAAGATGTTAACTGGAGGACTATGGTTATTAAACTTTTCCAGAGACTGTAAATGATGAAGTCAGGCCAAGTCTCTCAGGAGTAAATGAATGGACACTGAAAAATCCATCACACACATAAGAAATGCAGTCAAAAATGTCTGGTCAAATGAGAAGTAAATTAACAAAAATGAAATCTACCAACATGAATCATCCAAAAAGATTCTGTAAGAAAGTCAGAGCCTGGAGTTCCCAAAGTACAGATGAAAAGCCACAGACAATGTGATTGGAGGAAAAGGAATGTTCATAACAAAGGACATTTGCATTTTGGTGGATAAGTGGGTGATTTCTGGAGCTGTAAACTCATCTACTAGACAGTCGAGAGAAGCATCGCTTTCATCACTGCTAAATGCAATCACTCAGCCAAGTTCTAAAATGAGAAACGTTCTTGTCGCAAGGAAAATGCTGCTCAGCCGTCTACTGCTTTTTTACTCTGAAGCTTTTTTCTTCCTATTTAAGAAATGTAGGGAAAGCAACTTCAGATGCTTATTTTCATCTGTAAACATTCATAAAAAAAGCATTAAGTAAATAACAGAACACTTTTTTTTTTTTGGTTTTCCTTTTGAACTGTACCTCTATCTGGAGAATTTAGCAAAGTTGCAGATGAGGAGGAGAGCCGCTTGCTAATGACGGGATCAACATGTTTCGAAAGATTCATGGTGGAAACTGACCGCCTGTCTGGATCTAAAACAAATGGAGATAATGCTAATTGACAGCCAACATGCAGGATTGCAATTTCCTAGTTCACTGATGGAAGGAAAAACTAGGATCGGATGCTTTCAACTCTATTTCTAGATCTTTCCATAGTAGCACAGTTTTCTAAGTGGACATTTTAAAGGTAACTTAAAGGCTAGAAGTAAAATTCATTTTTCTTACAGGACAGAATAAGTCTTTAGCTTACCAGTTTGTCAGCCATGGAAACTCAAGGATATTTCTATAACATAAGTGGATGAAGACAAAAAGGAGGTCAGTGGAGGGTTACCCAAACAGCAGGGGGCAGACTATGGAACAAGGAGAGGATCATTTAAGTGAACACCTTCGTAACTTCTGAAAGCAGGCGCAGGGAGTGATAATAGTGCTGATAAAATACACCCAAACGCTAGGGTCAAAAGGACTCTAGGGTCTGTGTATTCGCCGATACCTTTGTTTGTAGAGTAATTTTACCCAGGGCAATACAGTCCACTATGGAAGTATAGATCAAAAATATAACAATGGCCAAGCCTACCTTTTAAAAAAATTTTAACTGCACAGATTTATGGGGTACAGTGTGATAACTCAACACATGCATTCAACATGTAAAGATCAAGTCAGGTTAGTTAACACTTCCATCTCCTTAAAAAAATTAAACTTATTTGAGAGGCAGAGAGACAGAAAGCTCTCATCCCTGGTTCCATACCCGGATGCCTGCAAGGGTTGAGACTGGGGCTTGGTCAAAGCTAGGAGCTGGGAACTCAATCCAAAGCCCCTGCAACGTGGATGACAGGAACCCAAGTACTTCAATCATCACTGCTGCCTCCCACGGGAGGCACCTGCAGGGAGCAAGTTAGGAACACGGGAGTCAGGACTTGAAGCCAGGCACTTCAATACGGGATGCAGCATCTTAACTGCTAGGCTACAAGTCCCTCCTTAGCCATTAAACAAAAAACTAAACAAAAGACCTTTTTTTAAAAAAAGATTATTTGGAAGTTACCAAACAAGTTGATCTGAACTTAGAATAGTGATTATCACAGGTTGGCAAGCATCAGGGGAGAAGAGATTCAGAAAGGCTGGAGAACAAGCACTGAAGCAGACAGGCAGAAGGACCAAGTTCCAGTGTTCCACAGCACGGTGTGGTGCCTACAGCTCACAATAACGGATTATACGCTGTGTAAGGAAATGGAAGGGAGGAGCTGGTAGGCTCGGCACACAAAGATAGGACAACCTGCTTTGATTGGCTTACGCTGTGTGTATGTGTTGAAATATTGTGCTGACCCCAAAAAATGTCAAGTACTACATGTTAGTACATTTTTTTAAAAAACATTTTCTTTTTAAAAGATTTACTTATTATTCAAAAGGCAGAGAGACAGAGAATCTTCTAGCTGTTGCTTTACTCTCCAAACGGCTCCAACAGCTGGATCTAGACCGAATGCCCAGCACTCTCACTGGGTTTCCCAAGTAGGAGGCAAACCAGGTCTCCCACATGGGCAGCAAGAATCCAATTACTTGAGCCATCACTGTTGCCTCCCAGGGTCTGCATTAGCTGAAAGCTGGAGTCAGGAGTCAGAGCTGGGAACTAAATCCAGATACTACAACAGGAGTGAGGGCGGCTTCACCACCAGGCTAAATGTTTACTCCCTGAAACATACTATCTTTCTTCTTCTTTTTTCTTTTTAAAAAAGATTTATTTATTTGATAAGCAGAACATTAGAGAAGGAGGAGGAGACAGAGAGAGAGATCTTTTATCTGCTGGTTCACTCTCCAAATGGCCACAAAAGCCAAGGCTGGGCCAGGCATTAAGCCAGGAGCCAGGAACTCCATCTGGGTTTCTCACATGGGTGTTAGGGATCCAAGCACTTGGGCCACCATTTGTTGCTTTCTCAGGCACATTGGCAGGAAGCTGGATCTGAAGTAGAGCAGCTGGCACTAGATATGGAATGCTGATGTCACAAGTGGTGGTTTTAATAGATTGCACCACAACACCAGTCTCTGTAACACACTTTCTCATGTTGTTCTATATATGTGAAGTTTTGACTGGAGGAAAGCTGTGTCTACATGCAGGTTTATCCTCAGGCGGATTCCCAATAGGTGGTGATTAAACACATTTAGTTTTGCATCAGAATCAGAGGAAAAAACAGCTAGACTAAATCTTCCCATCCTACATGATACTGTGAATGAATTGTCTCAGTCTCTCTGCCTTTCATATAAATAAAATTAAAAAACTCTGCCATAGCTGGTTTAAATTTTGGAGGTATATCATGCATTTGTTATTACTGAAAATTTTTGTTTATTTTTCTCACTGTATAAAATGCAAATTGACTCAGTTTCAAACGTGTCAAGTTTTCCAGGCCAGTGCTAACTGATATGCCAGCAGTTGGGATGTTCTACTGTAGACAGTAGGACCTGTTGCTGGTCAGGTAACAATGGTAGAGAACTCATCAGACCTCAGGTATTATTGCGAATTAAAAGGTATTCTTCAGAGTGAATGAGACCTGCTCACTGCTCTCAAGATCACAGCACATCATTTTCTGATCTTTGAGAACTTTTAGGCAAATTCCAATTTCTTTTCAGACAAACGTGTCTGTACTAGGAAAGGAGCAGTTTGCTCTAATTGACAGCCCTTGTAAAAACAGATTTTATGTAAGAGCACCCAGATGTAACACAAGTCTCTCCTGTTGTGAATGGTAAACAACAGAGGTCACATGGTAAACTCAGCCTGGAAGCAAGAATTAAGGGGAAGCAGCCCTCTGTCCCCTCAGAAACATCAGCCATCTCTAACAGGCTATTTCTGCCATCCATATATAGGGCATGAAGCCAAGTAAAAAATATGGCTAACAAAATATATACTACGGCAGCTTTTCTATATGTAAAACCACCCCACCACATGTAAATGACGGCACCATCACAGGTCTGACTGGGTTTTGAACAGTCAAGAACAAAAAAAAGTGCTTTCAATTTGGTTTGCTGTTATAAGAAAGCAAACTGTGGTGATATTCCTTAGAATTTTTTTTTTTTAAGTAAGAGGGTTAGAGAGGATACATAGGAATCAAAGAACAAAGAGCAAATGAACAAAAATTCAATCATTTAGATGAAAACGAAAGGGTGATGGCAGTTATAGATTGGGAGGGGGGGAGGGAAGGGAGAAAAGCGAACCTGGATATCCTTAAATCCCAGGTAATTTTTTTGAAGGTAAAAATCAGGTTTTAGAGGTTTCAAAGGAAGTAAGGAAAGAGAAAGCAAACATGCCACATGTAATTATTGCAAAACCTTTAAGTCACCTGCGTCAGATTATCGCACTTAGGAAACACTGTGCCAACCCCAGATCTAGGTCTATGCAATAGGACGTGAAGCATGCATTACGACTAAGGTGGGATGGCTCGGCTACGGGGGAACCGGCCCTCAGGCCAGGGTGCTAGCTACGGGTCAGGCGTCAGCAATCGCAGGGTTTCTGTACCAGATTTTCTAGTACCACCAAAAGTTGTGAAGTGGTGGTCCAGGCCTGCTAAATCGAGAGAGGTGAATGATGACTCAACAAAACCACCTGGGGACAGAATGTAAGACAATGACTTTTCAAAGTAAATTAAAAAAATAAATAAATAAACTCAGATAAAAGAACTGATACACTATGTAAAATTCAAGGTGTCTTGAATTTACAGTACAAAAATAAAGCCTTACACTAAGTTCAAATTTCAGCGTGAATTTATATTCATTCAAGAAGAAGGACACGGCTTAGACATCTACTACTGTTTCTGGCTGAAGAAACTTGCACATTCTCTCACACAGCATTAGTGCTGTGTGTACGCTTTAGGGGCCAGAGGTCAGCTCAGAGTGCTGATCTGCCCAGCTGTTATTACTGTGATTCTCCCAGAGAAAGATAAAGCTGGTTAGCTCATTCCGTAATCCTGAAACCTTTCTGCAAACAAGTTTCTAAAATCATGTGGAGTTGAAGTGAGCAGGTTGATTTACAAACACTGGCAATTTCTCTTTTGAAGGAATTTGCAACACGGGAGAAAAGCAGCCGTGCTGAGGAAGAGAGAGAACCTCTTATCTCCATCACCCTCTTATCCTCAAACAGTGGGAGCACCATTTAATCAGAGCTTAATTATTTTGGCAGGATTTTTGTTGTGCAAACATAGATTTAGAAAAAAAAGAAGCAGATGCACTTTTACTGACCAAAAACAAAAACAAAACAAAACAACAAAAAAAATCAACCCAAGCCAAAGACTGCTGACTCTGAAAGCGGCCACTTGTGGGTGTTACCTGTGCCGTGGATGCCAGGGCCCCCGTGCAGAGGGCCTCCCCATGACCATCGGTTAGGCTTCTGCTTTGGCTTCTGGCTTCTTTCCATCGTGCGCCGGACAACAGCTTCATGGCGTTCCTGACCCAGAGCAGAGAGGCAGGGATCAGAATCAACCTAGTTGTCTGAAGCGGCTTCAACTTACCGTGGAGTGGGGCGAGAAGGTATTACTTGTCTTCCCACCCTGCTGCTCGTCATCAATTCCCTCAGGTCTGTACCCCATCTTACAGTGGGGATAATAGCAGTCTGGCACAACCAGTGAAATAATCAGGAGCCAGCTTATGAAGCCCTGGTTGGACAACAGGCTTCCACATAAATGACCCTTAGTACTGGGCCTGATGATTTTTTTAGTATTTATTTTTATCTTATTTATTTGAAAGGTAGAGTTACAGAAGGTGAGAGGAGGAGAGAGAGACAGAGAGGGAAAGATCTGTCACCTGCTGGTTCACTCCTGAAGCGGCTGCAAAGGCTAGGGCTGGGCAGGGGGGAAGCCAGGAGCCTAGAATTCCATCTGTGTTTCCCATGAGGGTGCAGGGGCTCAAGCACATGGGCCATCTTCCACTGCTTTGCCAGGAGGACCAGCAAGGAGCTGGATGGGAAGCAGGGCAGCCACATGGGACGCTGGTGTTGCAGGGGGCACCTCAACCTGTGTCATCAACACATGAGCATGGCAGCTTGGTTCTTGGCTTCAATGAGTGTGTAACACAGATGGTACCATGTGTGGAAAATGGAGTTCAGAATCTGAGTGTATGGGTAATTGTGGCCCATGATTTACTGATCCGTAGCACCTTGTATGACTGACCCATTAAGAATCTAAATTTCCATTTTTGCAAAAATTGCTCAAAGGTTAAATGGGGACAATTTTTGTGAAAATGTTTGTAAGAAACCCGACTGCTTCGGAGAGGTGTTATCTGTTTCAGTGCATGAGAACCAGAAGGCTCCTAAGTTACTGATTTAGACCAGCCCTGTCTCTAACCTGACTTCCAGACTGCGCCTGGGCACCTGCGGCCATCTGCTCAGCCTACTCCTCGGAAGCCTCCCCTGCACGCCCGGCCGGCTTCGCAGGACGCACACGCCTATTGGTGACAGCGCTGACAGCCGAGGCTCTGCGCGCTGGCCCCGCCTCGCCCTCTCACCTTGTCCTCCTCCAGTCGCTGCCGGCGCTTCTCCTCCACCGCTGCCCTCCGCCGCTCCTCCTTCAGTCTCTGCTCCTCCAACTTCTTCTTCCGTTCTTCCAGGTGCTTCTCATAGTGCTGCCTGGCGCGCTCTTCTCTCTCCAACCAGATAATTTCTCGTGCAGCTTCAGGGGGAAACAAGAGGGAAATGGAACACAGGCAGATGTAGAACTTGAACAGCCAGGGCGGCAAGGCGGTGCTACATGGAACACACACAGGCTCTTGGGCTTTGCTTCCGTCACAATTCCAGGAAAAATAAAACAAAACAAAACACCAAACAATACTGTTTTTCATGGTTAGCATGAGTTCATATGCTAACAATGGGGGTGAAGAAGATGCACAGCCTTCTGTTCTTTGGGGTCTGGTGAAGGATAGAACAGAAATCGCATGCTCTGATCTCAAACCCGCAATGGACATGGTGCTCTCAGAGTCAATAGAACCATGCGCCTCTCTCCTTTGAGAAGGTGAAGTCCTCTGGCCTGTGACCACATTTCCGCTAACACTACATACTGGTTCTGTGCAAGTGTTAAAGGGATTTGGGAGAAAATCATCATTTGAGAAAAGACACATTACGTGCCTCCCAGGCACATCCAAGCAGCAGCCAGCCTTGTGTCCCAGTAGCTCACCCTGGTTTGGGGGCAACATAACAGGATAAAAACCTGAATGGAGGGGCTGGTGGTGTGGCATAGTGGGTAAAACCACCACCTGCAGTGCCGACATCCCATATGGGCGCTGGTTCGAGTCTCAGCTGCTCCACTTCCGATCCAGCTCTTTGCTATGGCCTGGGAAAGCAGTAGAAAATGGCACAAGTCCTTAAACCTCTGCACCTGTATAGGAGACCTGGAAGAAGCTCCAGACTCCTAGCTTCAGGTTGGCCCAGCTCTGGCCATTTGTGGAGTGAACCAGCAGATGACGATCTCTCTCTCTCTCTCTGCTTCTCTGTAACTCTGCCTTTCAAATGAATAAATAAATCTTATAATCAACAGTGGAAATTCCCCTTCTCTTCTTTATGTCACATGTTCCTATTCCATTTGAGGGGAAAATATGCTACACAAAGCCATTTTCTTAAATATGATGCTTTCTTGAGCTGCAATAACTAAGAACATCTATGAGAGCACTTCAAAAAGTTCAGGGAAAATGTGTATTATAAAAAACTGGGGATGGCATTGTGGCACAATGGGTTAAGCCCCCACTTCTGACATGGGCATCCCAATGCTGGAGTGCTGGTTCTAGTTCTGGCTTCTCCTTTTCTGATCCAACTCCCCTTGAATGCACATGGCTTGCAGTAAAAGAGCAGATGGATGATCTCTTTCTCGTCTGTTTCAAATAAATAAATAAATTTAAAAATATAAAAAACCCTATTCATGGCTTTTAATTTTTGCATCAAAATTAATTTATCATTTAAAAAATATTGTTCATTATATATATTTGAAAAGCAGAGAGAGAGTGGGAAGGGGAGGGATGGAGAAAGGGGAGAGAGATACCAACATCTCCCATCAGTGGGTTCACTCCCCAAATGCCCACAACAGCAGAGGATGGGCCAGGTGGAACTCAAATCTGGGTCTCCCATGTGGGAGGCAGGGACCCAATTACTCGGGCTGTTACCTGCTGCCTCCCAGGGTATGTCTTAGTAGGAGGCTGGAATGGAGAGCAGAGCTTGGACTTGCACACAGGCCCTCCGATATGGGATGCAGGCAACCCACGCAGTGGTTTAACTATGGTGCCAAACACTTGTCCCTAGACTTACCTTTTAATTCCATTTTCCTCAAATTTGTTCATGCACCCTTGTGTGAGATAACACTGTAGGCGAGTGTCCAAGCGCAACACAAAGTATAGAGTTTGAGGACACCATGTGCACATTAACTGCTAGTTTTTAAGGAAAAACCACAGAAATTCAGAATCTTTCCATTCCCTTTAATGTTTAACACTGAAGGCTGTGTTTTTGATGCTATGAAATCTTTCCAAAATTAGTCTTGTGAGGAGATAAATCTACTGAAAGGGATCTGGGTTGACTTTGATGAATGAAAAGGATGAGGATGAGTTCAAGGGGAGTTTGTCCCTCAGGGATCCTTCTGGGTGCGGGCTGGTGGGAACTGGAGTGTGCCCTGGAGCAGTCTGGGTCCTGTCAGAAGCTCTGCTCCTCCTGGGTGCTGAGACCTCGGACACATCCATTTGGTCCCACTTTTCTCTTACTTAAAGTTCCCATTGGTCTAAAGAAATCCTCAGGCCCAAGTTAAAGATTTATTTCTCACACACAGAGACACACACACACATACACATACACTGTGCTCAATAAATATTTACTGAGTGACTGAAAACATACAAGACTCCATGAGAACACACCTTAGAAGTTAACAGATGGAGAAGTGACTCTGCCCCCTTCTTTTGATGCACTGGCATTGGTCACGCTTGCTCATGCACAAGATACTCTCAGGTTGTGCACACGTGAGGCCTTAGTGGCAGGCTGCTGATGACATTTCACATTTCAGTTTACCTTGAAAGGTAGGCTTAGGGTGATAGATTTTGCCAACATTTAAACGGGACAAAATATTCAAAGGTGAGCTGACCATCTTCCTTTAACCTCAGACTGTTTTGTTTTACGTCCAGCTTTCTGATAAGTGTATGCCACGAACATGGTATGTACTGCTGTTAATCCACTATTCTGCGTCTGGCTGAGTCTCTCTTAGAGACCTTCCACATCTACACGTGAAACATGTGTCTGATTTTTTTTTTAAGACTTGAGCTCTTTCATGTGACTTGCTATTGTTGCCCCTTCAGCGCTTCCCTTAAAAGTTTAATTTTTCTTAATTTGAGAGGCCGAGGACAGAGAGGAAGAGAGAATGCTTCCATTTGCTGATCCACTCCCCAAATGCCCACAACAGCTACTCGGAAACCAGGAACTGGAAACACAATCTTAAACAACTACACAATATTTCATTGTCTGCACACCTCGTTTTATAAAACCAGTTACCTATTGATTCAGAGATTATCTAAGTGGTTTCCAGTATTTTACTAATTTCAACTTTAAGTGATATCATTGTACTATTACAAATCTACATGTAGCTCTATAGGTAAATCAGTGTGGAGAGAGAACTGCTGACTCAAAGGGAATATACACTTAAAATTCTGACAGGTTTTCCCACACTCTTTGGAGGGCTGCCAGTCTTCACTCCCATCAACCATGCATGAAGGTCACAGGCAGAAAAAAGAAACAGATTTGTACTGAAATGTGTAGATACATGGTATGATCAATCCATTTTTTTAACTTTTAGTAGACTGTCTCTGAATTTTATACTCCAACTTGAGAAGTTTCATATTATTTGAGGACACTAATGAACATAATATATTTCTTTCCTATAAAAGATCCGGAAGCCAAGACAAAATAAAAAATAATGACGTCTATAAAATAGTAATATTCAAAAACCAGAAAGATAGGATTTGCAAAATAAGAGTCAATTCATGGACTAATTTTCCTTAAATGATGTGTTCATCTGGCTTTCTTGCTCACAAGTATTTGTGACTATTTTATTTTTAAAAGATTTATTTATTTATTTAAAAGGCAGAGTTACAGAGCGAGATAGCGAGAGAGCAAGAGAGAGAAACACTTTCATTTGTTGGTTCACTCCCCAAATGGCTGCAAAGGCCAGAACTGGGCCAAGCCAAAGCCCAGGAGCTTCTCCTGGGTCTCCCACATGGCTGCAGGGACCCAAGTACTTGGGCTGCCTTGTGCTGCTTTCCTAGGCACATTAACAGGGAGCCAGATTGGAAGTGGAGTAACCAGGACTCAAACTGGTACCCATATAGGATGCTGGTGCTGCTTTTACCCAGTACACCACAGTGAACCTCATCTATTTTTTTCATTAAATTTAAACTCCCTTGGGGTCGGCACCTTGGAAGGAGTGCCTGGCTCCTGGCTTTGGCCTGGCCCAGGCCCAGCCATTGCAGGTGAACTAGTGGATGGAAGATCTCTCTCCTCTGTTTCTCTCTTTCTCTGTGTAACTCTGACTTTCAAATACATAAAAAAATCTTTAAAAGAAAAAAGCAAACTCCCTTGATTTTGAATCTCCTACTTGGCCTTTAATATCCCTATTTGGTCTTCCTTCTTCTTATGCTCCAAAGCAGCCTCTTCCTGTCCTAGTTAGACCAGCCTCCTTCCAAAACTCCCCTTCCCAGCAAACCGCATTCCCCCAGTCTTTGCTCCTGTTCTCGCCCTGGTGGGAAAGCTGTGTTCAGTTTTTATCCAGAGGGTATAGCCTTGCAACTGTAAGGAATGTCAGAACAGCCTTTGGAAGTGTGCGTGGGCAGAGGCCGGCGGGGTCTATCTAAAAAGCACCCTCACGTTTGGATGAACTGTTCTGGGAAGGGGTCCAGTGACGGCATCTGGAGAGATGCTGCACGGGAGGCTCACTTTCCAGAGCACACTGCGGCTCTTACAACACCTGCCACTTACAACACCGGAGCACTCCTATATTCTGACTCCTACACTGAAGCAAAGGCCACTGTGTTTTCCTTCTACACTCCAACAGTGCATTTCACAACTGGAACACAGCCAAAGGTCTTGACAGTTACTTTCTGATTCCCTGGGAACTTCTTCCTGATCCATTGGCCTGCAACTGCGAGCCCTCACGTAAGTAACTTCACTTCCCTGTGTCTCAGTTCCACCAGCATAAACTGCAGGTGAAACAGGACTTTCTGCGTAGATTTGCTGTGCGGATTAAAAGATTACGTTTCAAGTAGTTAGAACTGTTCTTTGTGCTTAGCAAACATTTGGTATTAGCCACTGTTGTCATTTTTGTCCTCATCATAGTGTCGATTCAGAAAATCACAGGTAGTTCTCATGGTCGTGCTAGAAATCCCAACAGCTCTGGACATTATTAGAATAACAATTAGTTTTACCCCAAATAATCTTTTGAAGGAAGAATATTTCTTCATTCAATCTTTCACTGAGTTTCCCTTCTATTTTCTACCAGGAAGGAGATCCTAGCAGTACCTCTGCAAACAACGATCTTCAAACAGTCACACGGAGAATAGGCAAACAATGTCGAAATGGCCCGTGACACTTTCTTCTTATCGCAAAGCATGCTGGTCTGTGCTGGGATGACTACTGAGTACAGATCATGTTGTC